ATCCTAGTTGATGTGTGGGGCGGGCCACCTGACAGTGACTGAAACCTGTGACTGCTGGCTTTTAGCCGTTCAGTACAATCAGTCAATCACTTAGGACTTGGGACGACTTAATTTATACCAGCCATTTCAGTAAACACTGGTCTAACAATAGCTGCCATCTGTTTCCTGTCGTTTTCCTTTTAATGCCTGCCATTTTGTAGTCCACGTTTATTCTCCTTTCTCCCCCTTCAAATAATATTTTCCAACCCACTTTATATGCATATATATATATATATATATATATATATATATATATATATATATATATATATATATATATATATATATATATATATATATATATATATATATATGATTGACTCGACCGAGTTATGAATACTGCTAAGTTTCGCTGTGTTACGTTTTTGAAATAACGTTTTGCGAAGTGTCGTTGTGTTCGTGTTACGGTTTTTAAATAACATTAACAATATACATAATAATACTGTTCGTGTTGTGTTACGGTTTTAAAATAACAAGATACATGAGACTATTCATGTTGACACAGACAATTTTAGTTTTGACATCCCCTCCCCTACTCTAAAAGTTAGTCATGTATGTATATCAAGTGTTAGCATACACAAATCTTATTAGACAACAATCTATTTCAAGAGGTCTGTCTGTGAGAAATCTTTTCAATTGTTTGCTTCACAAAGATTTCAATGATAAACATGAGCAAGGCTAGCTTGTGTTGAGTGTGATCAAATTTCATATTTTTATCTGCGTCTTTGTGAAGTGTCATCCGGTTGTTTCCTGTGAGATACAAGTTTAACATTGATCTCGCTGGGCTGTGAATATTGACTTAGTTAATGCCATCAGTAGCGGGTCGTTCTTGTTAACCTGCCTCGTCAGAAAATGATTCACATCACGAATCTACCCTGCCTTCGTCCCACCTACCCGGACACAGGCACAAATCCAACCCAGCCACCAACTCTCCAACCAACGTAAATGTACACATATTTCTCCAGCCACCATCCCCCCCCCACACACACACACACACACCACCAACACCACCACACGTAACAACTAAATATTCCAACACTTAGATGGCTCAACATTTACCGCATGCAACATGTATTAAGCTTGATATTTGCCAGACTACTTTGTTCCCAATACCACGTAGCCTATACCGGCATGTCACATCACTCTGAACAATTCATATCACTTAGGGCCACTGGCCAATACTGACCGTATGATTCTACACCTATACAATGCTACTGACCATGTGATTCTATAACTATACAATGCTACTGACCATGTCTGACCACCAGCATAGTCTCACCCCAAGCTTATATCAGGCCTAACCTTGAACCAGCAGACGGTAAGAATTCGGTCAGGTACCCCAGCCAGCAATAATAGTGCTCAAACTGCCTGCCTGCATGTGGCCTGTCTGCCTGCAGCCTGCCTGCCTGCATGTGGCCTGTCTGCCTGCCTGCCTGCCTGCCTACATGCATGTGGCCTGCCTGCATGTGGCCTATCTGCCTGCAGCCTGCCTGCCTACATGCATGTGGCCTGCCTGCATGTGGCCTGCCTGCATGTGGCCTACATGCATGTGGCCTGCCTGCATGTGGCCTGTCTGCCTGCAGCCTGCCTGCCTGCATGTGGCCTGTCTGCCTGCCTGCCTGCCTGCCTACATGCATGTGGCCTGCCTGCATGTGGCCTGCCTGCATGTGGCCTGTCTGCCTGCCTGCCTACATGCATGTGGCCTGCCTGCATGTGGCCTATCTGCCTGCAGCCTGCCTGCCTACATGCATGTGGCCTGCCTGCATGTGGCCTGCCTGCATGTGGCCTGTCTGCCTGCCTGCCTGCATGTGGCCTGTCTGCCTGCCTGCCTGCATGTGGCCTGTCTGCCAGCCTGCCTGCATGTGGCCTGTCTGCCTGCAGTCTGCCTGCATGTGGCCTGTCTGCCAGCCTGCCTGCATGTGGCCTGTCTGCCTGCAGTCTGCCTGCATGTGGCCTGTCTGCCTGCCTGCCTACATGCATGTGGCCTGTCTGCCTGCAGCCTGCCTGCATGTGGCCTGTCTGCCTGCCTGCACATATGTGGCACGGCGTCTCATTATAAGTGCCTCACAGAATTGCCTCTCAGATAGGGGTGGGGTGAATGTCAGGGGGGGGGTGTATGCGGACGCTGTTGGACGTTAAGTAGTACATGGTAATTTTACCACGACCTCTTCATTTTCCATCCCCTTCTCTCTTCCCCCCTACCCCTCCCCATCCCCCGGAAATGGAATGTCGAGCAGGGGATATAACACGTGATTGAAACAAAGATTTACTTTCCAATGGCATGACAAGATAGAGCAACACAGGCGAATACTTCTTTCCATTCTGTGCATCTAGTTATACCGTTATTTTTACGTTGGTCGAGTCAGTCAGTAGTTTCATTTAATGTTATCAAACTCACATAACATACAGATAAACAAGATATAGTCTGTGTACTTCGTTGCCTTTTGAACTTGTTTGTAAACAAAGGCTGTGCTATACAGTACATGGTCGTGAAAATATTTTGATTGGTAAGCACAGACGTTAACTCGGTTAAATTAAAAATTGATGTGCGTACTTTTCAAAGTTTGTAAAAATCAATATTTTGAACTCAGCTGTTTGGTTTTAATCTATCAGATTACGCAGCCATTAGTTTAATACAGTATAATTGATTTTTCCTTCCTCATGGCAACAGCTATGCAACTTTTCCTAGTTTCAGTGCGTTTGGGGAATGAGCGCAACAACACTGTATAATACACTAGGCCTACCGAGACTAGTACTACTTAATATGCAGATTGCGTATAGGTCACGGTTAAACTTATCAATTATGGGCCAAACTCTAGCTCGCTAAATTGTCATGCGCAAATAAGTTAATAATTAATACATTCAGTCTGGTTATACAGCGGTCGCGACAAGCTTCTAAGGCAATCGGTTCTACCCTTGTAACGATGCGCTAGAAATTAATAGAGACAGACCATAGTTACTAGTGTTTGGAGCGAAGTTTTGGCCAATCGTTACTGACAGAAGCGCGCGGCAGACGCGTTGTTGAACTTGACGGCTTTCAGACGAGACAGCCCGGGAACATCATCACACGCGCTAGGGGATGCCGGAATAGGCTGGGGCAGGCGGGAGCAGAAACGAGTAGGCTACTTGACGGGAGCATCGTATGCTTACAAACATCCGCACGCCGTTACTGTGCCGGCCGCTCTGGTCTATTCAAGGCTGCGGGACTTAGGGTTTTTCTTGTCTGGTTATTGCTAGTCTACCATCATGGGTAAGTGTGTTCAATTAGAATTATTTTGTGATGCAAGGTCGAGATTCAAGATTGTGTACAAAGCTAGCGTTAATCTACTGCGGATTAAATATCTAAAAGTAATAAAATGCATGCGCTTAGACGCTTAGGCTTAATACATTTTAATACATGTTTTAATCAGCTGAATTTATTTTTTGTAGTCTCAACCTCTAAGTCATCTAGAGTAGAGTAGTCTAGACTACATTCTAGAATCTATATTAAAATGCGTTTTGATTAAATCTAGATCTAGAATCTAGATCTAGATCTAAATATTCTAGATCGAGATAAACTTTCCACTGAATAAAAATCATGCATTGTAATAATTACAAAATGTGTGTATTTACTACTAGCCGCGTAACCATATCGATATCAGTAATAATCAATTCGTATGGATGATGAATAATTTAATTATTAATTAAGCAATGATGAATAATATAGATCTAATCTAGGTCTACAAAAATTTGAATGAAAAAAAAAAGCTGGAGTTTGCATGTTTAGATCTATTTAATAATATCTAGATCTAGATCTAAATACTATATTGTTTACAGCTCTGATTACTGCTGGTAAAAAAAAACCGTGTTAGCATTCAATACTGTGTATGTTGGTGCACACTTAATTGCGCGGTTGTTGAAACTGAGCGCGCTGTTATTTTATCATCGTTCTCTAAATGTAGGCCTCCACCGATTATCTTGCTTGCTGCAGTATAGTGAGTGTTGGACTAATTATTTCTAAATATAGAACTACAAGTTTGGTTTTATTTCATTTGTTTTCTTTCAGAACTGATAAGAATTTGGATGACCAAAACATGTTGTTTTTTTTAAACCTCACATCTGTTCTTAGATTAGATTTATTTATTTTTAGTTTAGAATGAATACAGTGATGTATTATAGATCTAGATCTATATAAAAGTAGATCTAGATCTAGATAATAGAATCTAAACTAGATCTCGATCGAGAATATAAATCGAATATAGATTCTAGATCTAGCTGATATTGGTACTGGTAGCCTGTAGACTTTCTTTTAAAAGAAGTTTCGTCATATTTTTTTGTTAGCTTTTTTTTTGGGGGGGGGGGGGGGGGGGGGGAGAGAGAGAGAGATCTGGTTATGTACAATGATAGGGGTCTGGAGTAAAAATCGACCAAACTATTGTGACGTCACTAATGATCCTGCCCCCTAAATTCACACTAAACTAGCTCAGAGATCTTTTGATATCCACGGAGACACGGAAATAGTTTCATCTATCGGAGTAACAGATTTAATCAGATATTGTTAGAGCACACAGTGTTTCTTCCAGACTTTTTTTCTCGGGGGGGGGGTAGACTTTCTTTGGGACACACACACTGTTAACAGTATATATTTTCTATATAAATTTCATTTCGTCGTGCGGGGGGGGGGGGGTGTCGGAGCTCCCCCCACCCCCGAAGAGATGCCTGGAAGAAACTCTGAAAGCACACCTTTTAAATTTAATATTTAGACTTGACTCAAGCCTTAGAATTGTATATCGGTTCGTGAATATTTTTTTATTAGCTTGATAAGAAGCTAGGAAACAAATCAACGTTTTTTTTTTTTTTTTTTAATGCACAGGTAAACTGATCAACACATTTTAAACTGCAGGCAACTGCTGTGAGATGTCGTCATTAAAAAGTAAAAAAAGTTATGATTATCTATTTAACTTTTTTTTTTTGCTCTTCAGCAGACAGATACAAAGAAAAGAAATTCGTGAGTCAACATAAATCGTCTTCAGAAGAAAGTGAAAGTGAAAACTTAACAAAAATGGTTAGTAATTATTATTATAAATACCTAGATTTTAGTTCTAGATATTCTGAGATAGCATATAGGTAGATCTATGTTCAAATAAATTAGACCTAATCACTAATCTCCTATATGACCTATGCAAATGATGTAAAGTGAAGAACTAATAAATAATCAACTATTTTCCATTAGTAATAAGTTATCAGTGATAATATTTCTTGTTTTATTTTCCTTGAAAAAGCTTATCAATATATATCAGTATAAACATTAACAGCCAACAAAAAGTTTTTACATCAATAAACATATATTTACAGGTTGACACAGCAGAAGCAGAGCAGCTGATCAGGCAAGGGCTAGGCAAAAGGGTGGTTAGAGCAGATGGTAATGTCAATGGCACTTCAACAAGTAATGGCGACTCAGACATGTTGTCAGAGGGTATCCACGGTTACGAGCAACTCACTCAAAGTGCCCTCTCTCAGAGAGTGAAGAAGTTCATCACCATGACAGTGATGCCAATCTTTCTGATTGCCTTTGTGCCCAATCTGATCATCCTGATCTGGTACACAGTCATCCACTGTGATGGCAGCTACCTCAAGATGATGTCTGTGTTCAGCAACAGGTCAATCTTCCATGGCCTGTGTGATGTCTGGAGCTTGGCGCGCTACCCCTCGGCCCCAATCATCTGGACCCTCGTCGGGTACTGTATCTATGCCTTGGCTATGATGAAAATTTTACCTGGGAAAAACGTCACCGGCCCCGTCACACCAAAGGGAAATGTGCCTGTGTACAAGGACAATGGGTTTTCATTTTTTGTGATTACAATGGCCCTGTTTTGGATCTTAACCGTAATTCTGCATCCATTTGGAATCTCACCTTCCATTTTATATGACAGATTTGATGAAGTGATTGTTGCTTTGAATGCCTTTAGCATTATCTTCTGTGCTTTCCTCTACGTGAAGGGTAAAATTGCTCCATCTTCAACAGACTCAGGGTCATCGGGTAACGTTATCTTTGATTACTACTGGGGTATGGAGCTGTACCCAAGAGTGTTTGGGTTTGATATCAAAGTGTTCACCAACTGCAGGTTCGGCATGATGGTCTGGGTGTTGCTCGTCTGCGTACATGCTGTTAAAAGTTACGAGCTTTATGGGTTCGTTGACTCCATGTTTGTCTCAGCGTTCCTCCAAGTTCTCTACCTCACTAAGTTCTTCTGGTGGGAGTCCGGGTACCTGCGCACCATCGACATCATGCTGGACCGCGCTGGGTTCTACATCTGCTGGGGGTGCCTGGTCTACGTGCCTGGACTGTACGCCTCAGTCACCTTCTACCTGGTCAGTCACCCAATACACCTAGGACCAACTGTCACTGCTGTGTTTTTGTTCTGTGGAGCTTTGAGCATTTACATAAACTATGCTGCTGACTCGCAGAAGCAGGAAGTCCGTGGGGCTAATGGCGACTGCCTGATATGGGGTCGTAAGCCTGATATCATTCGTGCCAAGTACCAACTGGAGAATGGCGACGTGAAAGAAAGTATTTTACTGGCGTCAGGCTGGTGGGGGCTGTCGCGACACTTCCACTACATCCCTGAGATTATGCTGGCGTTCTTCTGGTCTGTCCCTGCTTTGTTTGACAATGTACTGCCCTACTCATACGTCATCTGGCTCGTGATTCTCCTCACACACCGCAGCTACCGGGATGACACCAAATGTGGGAAGAAGTACGGCTCATTTTGGAATCAGTATTGTAAGAAAGTTCCACACAAGATTGTACCCTATTTATTCTAAATCTAGGTGCAATATTTTATTTAACATTTGGGTTGTTTAATTTCTCTCTTATCATTTCAAAAACAAGTACTCACTTTTTTTTAAAAAACAAAAAACATTAACTGTTGCCATTTTATTCTGTAAATAGCCATTTCTTCCATGCTCTCCAAAGATACTCATGTAATCTCTTACACTTGGTTACTCAGTTCTTTAAACCTTTTTTCTAAGTTATAAAGCACTTAAGTATCTATAAACAATGCATTATGTGGATCTAAGGATTTTTTTTTCTAATCAGTATATCTATAGTGACTTTTACATAAACCAAAGTCTGACCTATGTGTTAATTCTAGTAGGCATATTTGTCTGTCAAATATCTTACCTTAATGAACGTTTCTTTAAAAAGACAATTAATGTATCATTAAAAGCAAAGATACTTTTAGATTGTTTGAAAAAAAAGAAGTAATGAAATGGAGGAAGACTTGTCAGAAAAATGTGTGAGTTAAATCAACAGAACTCACTAAGATTACCAAGAATAATCCAAACTATGATTACTAAAGTGGAGCTACTTTTATATATATATATATATATATATATATACTCTAGTCCTACTATCTGTATGTTGAATTGTACAGCATAATCCAGTAGTAATTACTGTGACTATAACAGAAAAAAAATATTTATATATTTGTAGAGGCCCTCGTACAGTTTATAGATTGTGTACTTGTTTCTTTTTAACAAACTCAAAATTTTTCATTTTTTGAAAATGGGTTATTACATTTTCAGAACACAATGTTGTACATTAAGGAATTTTTAACGAGCAATTTTTTTAAAGCCAAAAAATATGCTCATTGTTAGAGCATTTACTACATATTGTGCTAGTTGTAATGCTTTTTTCAATGTTTACTCAGCATAGTAGAATCAATAAATTTTGATAGCAATCAAATGTTTGATTTGCCAGCAAATACTCGCATGTTGTCATTGTTCTGTTTTCATCTTCTTCATTAAATTATTTGTAATGTTTCATGTTGTTGAAGCTTTTATCAGTATTGCAATTAATTTAATAGCTTAATTTTTATATTGTTTTCATTTTTGTTGTTAGTTGTTTTTTTTTTTTCTGTGGATAAACCTTGTAAATTATTTTACTTTTAATAACATATTTTATACATTGTATAATTAGCAGTTGGCTTCTTCTTTTACCTTTAATGAGTTTTTTATTATCAGGTGGTTAATTACCGATTTTATTTTTTTAATAAAAATTCTATTGAATAAATAAATTCTTGATCTATACAAAAAGTAATTTTAAAATGGATATATTTAAAATAAGGCAAGGCTGTAGGCCTTATACCAAATTAAAACTACTAAATACATCACAATGACCACAATTTTATTTCTGATATTTATTTAAGATTCCTGAATTGATTCATATTTTGGAATGGGTAAATCTTTAAATAGTTTTTATTTGTACTCATCTGAAATGGTGAAATAAAGAAAGGTCACACACTGGTATCCACATGATACTTGCTGGTAAATGTCCTCATAAGTGGGTTCACAAATCTTTATTCTTTTTTCTTTCTTAATATTCTTCTGGGTAAAAAAATTGTCAATAATTTATTCAAAGAGTTGAAGCTACTTTATAAACGGTTGCCTAGCACCTATTTAATTTCCTGGTAGTGTGTATTTTAGGTGATTAGATTGTTATGCTTCGAAACAAAGGATGCATGTTTTTCTGCCTTTTACACTAAATGTTTCTTCATTGTCTGAAACTACTTTCATTAAAGTGAAAAATGAAAATTTAAACATTTACAAGTTCTGAAAGTCATCTCCTTTTTTTATGTGTGTATATAATTTAAGGTTTTTTTATTTGTTTTTTTTTTTAATTTTGTAACTCCTGAATACTTGATCTAATAATTCTGGCCAAAGTCAATTTCATATTTTTTAAAATAAATTATCTATTTTTACTGTATATTAGGTTTTTTGGTTTGACTTTTTAAAAAATCATCTCTCACTGAATGTTAGTCTTGATTCCTGTTTTTTATTTATTTTATTTTTTTTAATTCAAGGGTAAATAAAACTCAGTGTTTGAAGAACTTTGCCTCCTCTCTTTTGCTCTTATTTAACAAAGTATGTTGTGTCAATGGGGAATGGTATGGTTGGAAGGTAGATCATATGACTGCTGAAAGTCTTGAGTTCAAAACCATGAGGTGTCATAGCGACGCCACTGAACAGCACGTTACTGTAGAACAGTTTCTTCCAGGCATCTCTTCGTCTAAGCCCCCCCCCCCCCCCCCCCCCCCCCAGAGAAAAAAGTCTGGAAGAAACACTGCTGTAGAATACTACCCGAACCTCGTTAAAAGGGAAATCAATTATAAGTGCATTCACCTCTTGTAGATGATCCTATTAATAGCTCACTTGTCAGGTGACCACTAAATTCTAGTTACGCCCCCTGGCAACAGAAGTCTATTTACCAATCAATATATTACCCTTACGTCTAGCTGAACACCGCCACCACCAGCATGCCTATACGCTATTATACCAACAGATGTTTAGCGTGTGTAGTTCATGTTTAAATGGATATTTGTTCAGCTTATATTAGTCACGCAATCAATGAGCGACAGCTTTTCTACTTAGGTACAAAAGTCAAAATTCTCAAGTTAAAATGAAAATTTTCAATTAGTTTATTTTGCCAACCTGCTAAAGATTATATATGGTAGACCTAAAATGCAGTGATGAGAAAAATTCTCAGCGAATTGCATTGAATCTTATTATGGCCATAAAAGCTTGAAGGGGTGGTGATCCGGCTTTAGTCTTCACTAATTAACTTCTCCAGTTCTGTATTATCTGGTGCACCCACAGCCCTGGTGTATTACACGTCATTCGTTGCATTTCTACTAAACACAACCTGCTCGTCTCACATGCAAGATGTGTCTCAAACATGTGAACTCGTAACGCCATACATGTGATCTCAACACAACCTGTAGGATACTATGTCTAACACAAGCGAACTCTGCTCCCCTAGGTCTTGGCATGAAGTGGCATTCAGCCAGGGTCAAAGGTCACTGGACATAAAGAACACCATAGCTCGTTCTATGGCCCAAGTTTAGTAAACTGGCCGTGTGAGGAGGGGTGGGGGTGGCAGCGGTGATGGGGCCAGCTTCCAGCATGGGGTCTCAACAAGGGATCCGTGATGTGGGGTGAGATTTCGGTGAATTCATATTGTGGTCTATCTATGCTAATCGTTTTGTTTTAAAACAAAATTACTATCTTTAATTATAGCCTATGCTTAGATATTAGACGAGGATTTTGCATGCACACGCACACACACACACAGACAGATATATATATATATATATATATATATATATATATATATATATATATATATATATATATATATATATATATATATATATAATGACAAGATTGAATGAGATTGCTATCGAAAAGAAGGTTAAACAGCATCATTCTGACACATCAGTGCAATGAATAATTCGTAGTCTACATAAAAAAGATCATATGAAACTACCCTGTTAATAGCTGAGTTTGAAGTCATTGGGGACACCTTTTTTCTGTAGCAAATAATCAATACCCACTCACACGCTTTTTGTTTCATCATTCCCCTAGCGGCAGGACCAATTACTCTATTCAGTTGTTTTTAAATGAGTTGTCTTCCGTAATCACCGCTGTGCCAAGCAATGAGCAAACGGTTGCTATGGAAACAGTGCCTTTTTTTTAATCGAATAAAATAAAAAGTTTGGCAGTGTTAATTATTGAATAGGTTTATGTGAACGAGCTTTTAGGCTTAGGCGTGCATTTTAAATCTGTGGCCAAACAAAGCATTTCTGGTGTCCGTTCATTCCGCGGACTGACTATACCCACTCGCTACAGCATCACAAATTGTCTAAGGCTACAGCTACACACTTGAGACGCAATCTGAAACTCGCCTCGCCGCCTATTTGCATTTATATAAGGGGCGGATTATCGATCTTGGTGCCCATCTAATCTACATTTTCATTTCTATATAAGACAGAAAACTCGCTGGCAGAAACGTCCTTTCTTATGTACATGGAGACATGCATACAAATATGTTACACAGAGCTATATTTATGACCATATATATACACATAAACTGATAGATAGATTAGATGGATGGATGGATGGATGAATGGATAAATGGATGGATGGATGGATGGATGGATGGATGGATGGATGGATGGATGGATGGATGGATGGATGGATGGATGGATGGATGGATGGATGGATGGATGGATGGATGGACGGACGGACGGACAGATAGATAGGCCTTAATTTATAGGTTCACACACATGCCTCTCTCTCTCTCTCTCTCTCTCTCTCTCTCTCTCTCTCTCTCTCTATATATATATATATATATATATATATATATATATATATATATATATATATATATATATATATATATATATATATAAGTATGTATGTATGTGTGTGTGTACGGATAATGTAAAATAGAATGGAGATATGATTGCCTGCAGGGGTGCCTGAGAATTTCTGCTAGAGATCCAAATTAAAGACAAATACCACCCGCGCAAGCAGTGGATCTCAGACGTCGATACTAGCAGACGTTTGGGTCTTCTCTTCCCGCCACTCTTTATTTTTTCATTTTTTCCCGAGCTCATATTATTGATTGGGCTTGCCAAGCGTTTTATAAATAAGGCCCGGAAAAGTTTGGGAATCTCTCGCTGGACAGCGCAGGATGTTGGAATACCAGAGAATGGAATGTCAAGTGGGGGGAGGGGGGGGGGGGTAGTTTAAGCAAGGCGAGGTCAGAATATTTGGTATCGATTTTTTTAAAGCAACGATACTGGCTCTGATAAACATTTTTGTATCGTTTAGTAGTTTAGTTAAAGAAGTGAAAGTCGTTATAGTAAACAAGTTAATAAAAAGTCTAGTGACAATGTAAGCGCAATTTCCTTAATTAATTTTTTGTGACCGAACGAAAGGATATTTTTTAAAACTTTCTTCGGCAATATTGTTCTAAACTATGGCAGGAATCGATTGGTAAATGTTTCAAGTCGCTAAGTGGTCTGGTTGCCGAGATATGGGCCAAAAACTGCATTTTATCGAGGTTTTTTGGCTATTCCGGGAAATCCAGGAAAGAAATTCCGGGAATTTTTTTGGCCCACAATCATCCTCGGAACTTGCTTAACATATTTGCTTTTAGATCTAGTCCTCGATATTGCTTCGTTGAGGAGGAGTTACGACTTAAAGCTGCGCACATCCATCCATCCATCCATCCATCCATCCATCCATCCATCCATCCATCCATCCATCCATCCATCCATCCATCCATCCTGTAAGAAAATTGCGCTAAAAAATAAAGGACATTTTACAATCACTGGCATTAACAGGCAGATGATTTTAGAAATTTCTTACACCTCCGTAATGTCAAGAATCAGTACACACAGGTGATCCTGAAGGTCCCAATGTTTGAGACATCCAGCATTATGCGTGATTGGCCATTTAAGCAGATGATTTATTATTCCATTTCTTAGCTACTAAGTAATAGTAACAAACCAGTTGGCCTGGCGGCCCTCTTTAATCGTACTAACTGGATACCCCCTCCCCTTTCTTTCTTCCCTCCCCCCCCCCCCCTCCCCCAATTCCCTTGCATTATGACGTTATTCATGCACTAAAATTGTATGCCTTAGATAATTATATGCGACCCACTCTTTTCTTTTTCTTTAAAAAGTGGTGCAAGATTAGATATTTGTAGTTGAAAAACTCAATTTCTTTTTTTTTTTGTGCAAATACAGAAGCTTGTTACTAAATCTATAAACAATTTATTTGATTCCTTGTTGTATAGGATTAGCGATTAAAGGGAAGTGATCGTAAAAATATAAACTCAACAGCGAATGAAAGACTTATCTTTCCTTTGAGAAACAGCTGCGGTTTGTTTTTTTAATGTAATTTAAAATACGAGCCGACCCGCTGCGTATCATACGCCGTTATTTAGTTGTTTTATTTTCTACGTTTCAGTAATTTGTAATTTGTGAATTCGACAGTACCAATGCTGCCATTGAAAATATTTCCTTAAAAACACTAAACCCCCCTTTCCCCCCCCCCCCCCCCCCCCCCACGTGAAAGCAGCCTCCTCTTAGTAACCTCCTCTAAGTTTAAAATCGTTTCAAACTAAATTATCTGCTCCTAGATCTAATAGCCGTCACCAAACCCGTCTCTATGATTGTAAAATGTAAACAGCGTGAACCACAACTCACCAGACCGTGTGAGTGGGTGGGGGTGGTAGTTTGCAGCTTGTTTTCTAAAGGCTCCAAGAAGAGAATTATATATATAGATATGTACATATATATATTGAATGATACTAACTGCAAAATGTTCAGAGGAAAAAAAGTTTCTAAGAATAATTTCAACCGATGATCGGGATGAGGTGATACGACATCTAATAACTTACTATGAAAACTTTGCTTTTTTCCAATTTAATTAATAGGTGGATTAGTTTAAAGAGCACAAATTCACGCCATTGGCAATATGTGGGGGTTTGGGGAGGGGACACACACACCAATTGCAACTGTATATTTACATATGGGCCTATGTATGCATTTATATAGAGAGAGCCTGTACGTTTTCCTGTGTTGGACGGTGACACCCGATCTAGCCACTCCATTGCCTAGTGGTGATGTTTGTTTTATTTTTAATTTTATAGTGAATGGCATTTATTTAAATTATATTGTATTTTTTTAACGCATTACCACTATTTCTGAATAAGTAAAGTTGAGCCATAAAAGATAGGACCAATTCCACTACTTTCTGGGTCCAAGAACAAACAAATATTTTAGTTGCAGGACTGGTAGATATAGATTATGAATTACTAAAAAGTAGAAAATGATTTTAAATGCACTAAAAATAAAAAAATAAAACTTGCTTTCTTTCATAAAAGCTTTGGTTCCTCATGAGATATTTTAAATATTTAAGCAACCAGAGCTTATTTAGTTATTGAATATAGTAGTTATCAATCGAGTGATTTAGTTTTGTTATCCCCCTTAGTTTTTAAACTTTTATTTTTAATGGCTAATCAAACTTAAAAAAAATAGATAAGACTTATGTTGTTATCAAAGTGGAGCGTATCTGGAAAGTTTGAATGAAACTCAGCTTTGGAATGTGTCAAAATTCTGTTTCAAGATTTGCCACACCCAATGCCACCTACTCAAAATATTTTCATTACTCAAGTAGTACTAGTACTAGTAGCAAAGGCTTTCTTTTTTTTTAAAGATTTTCGCATTCATTTTTTTCTATACTAATTATTATGTCTAAATGAGTACACATTTCATTTTTTTTAAATTGACCTATCGTGTTATTAACATGCTAAGGTTATTTATTGAACATGGTTGCTGAACTTGTCCCGAATTCAAACTAGGGACAGCTCTTTGATAGACAAAGGATAGAGGCAATTCTAAGTAGGCGGAAAATCTGTGTCAACTGCCTTGTGTTGGAGGTAATATCTTAAAAACATAAAGGAGCAAATTTGTCACTGAACTCTTGTCAGACACAGAAATAAAATCATACAATTAACTTTTCTCACAGAATACTGAAGTATATTAACTAATTAAAATCTTGATGCCTTCAACTACATTGATTGCATTTTTTTAAAGAGCCACTAACATTTTTTTCAATAATTTGGTACTTGATAAGGATTTGGTAAATATTTTTGATTTGAAATAAATAGCATCAATTTGTGAAATTATGATGATTCAAATAAAACAGAATTGTTTTGCAGAAGTGTTTTTTACTAGCTAGCTTTATGATCAAATTTAAAAATTAGTGATCAAATAATACAACTATAGGGCAATCCAAATCCACTTATTAGTAGCCAATAACTTACTTTTTTATACTTTCTTTACGGACCGTCTCAGGTGTTTCACATAGCGAGGCAGTCCTCAGCACGACCAACTGGCATCAGTTTGATTACTGCAACGGTAGCTTTTGCCCTTTGGTTCTCACTGAACGCAGGGTAAGGTAAACTCATACCATACAGTCCAGTACATGACTCAAACGTGGGAAGCCAATAACTAAAATACTACGTCACTCAGGTCAAATGAATGCATTCTGAATAAAACTACATCCACCTTTGAGATATTCGAAAAAGCAGACACTTGGGCTGGATGATGCCCAAGCAGCTGTCAGCTCTCTATAATTTTTGCCTCACCTATTATGATTGGTTTTATCCTGTTTTAAGTTAAAAGAAAAAGTTTTTCTTTACAGTATATTTTTTATGAGTTTTGAAAATGAAATAATATAATTAATATTTGTGCATGCATTGAACTGGAGAGCTGAATCTCGACATCCAAATAGCCCTGGTCTAACCCAATCTTTGGTCAGCAAGTTTACAGGAGTTCATAGCTCACCACAAAGAGGTGATTTACCTAAGGCAGTCATAAAACTAATCAGTGTAGCAAATTATTGCTATAAGCTCTTTAAGTCCATTAATTCAAGGACTTTGATTACAATTTTAAAATAATTAACTCCCTTTTAAAAGGATTAAAAAAACAGTGAAAGTACCTGCCCTAAAATTGTTATTTGTACACCATCTGCCCTAAAGGTTATGGAGTAGAAGTGCCAAACATATTTATACATTGCTACACATTTAACACCTGAGTAGAGACCTATATAACAGCAACTTCAGATAAAACTAGTGAAAAAAGCGTTACAGAATCTATAACATAGCAAAAATAAATGAGAATTAAAGCAGGTATCAGTAAATCTAGTTTGTTTAATTTTACAGACGACATTCCTTTGTTGCAGAACCCATGTATGTCTAGGCTTAAATCATCTGCTTAACAAGAGCATCAATCATGGTGTCCCTGAAGCCATAGTCACCACCATCATTGTAGTGGTTGTACTTGCGGCGCCATCCTCCCAGGGGTGAGGAGAGCTTGAAGGGCCAAAGGAAGTTGGAGGCATACTTGAAGTTTGAGCCAACAGTGAACACTTCATGGATCAAATCTTCAATGCAAATCATGTTCTGAGCACCTGTCAAGAAAAGAAAGGATTCACAAACATAACCACTATGTAAATGCATTTAACTAAAAATCTCAGATAAATGTTTCTATTGTTTCCACCATAATAAAAACCAAGCAAATTAATGTCTTGGTTGGAATAGTGATGGACTATACTTTAGCAAGCTTAAAAATTGAACTAAACCACTATTAAGGTTTAGCACAGAGTGTTACTTGCGCGAATAGCCCCTGAAACCAAACATAGGTCAAATTCTTCACATAAAATTCCCCACACCATGCAAACCAAGTATATGACCAACTTCCATTAAAGCAAGTTAAATATTAAATTCAACAGAAATGAGCTTTCCTCCAACAATATTAAGACCTTATAATGCTATAGGCAGCAATGAATTTCTCAGTACCCAAATCTTAGGGAAAGGGGGAAACTATTTTAAATGTGGTGAACCTTTATAACATTTGTTATACTTTAAACATTAAACACACAACAGTAAAAGGGACAAATAGATTAGCTGATTACAATAAAATCCAACAATTGTTTTAAATCATTTTTATTGTTTATCATTTGCAAAATTATTCAAAATCACTTAATGAGGCCACATGCAAATAGGGCTTAAATGCACTCAATTCCTCATGGATGCAGTCTATTTCAACTGCTCTTAGAGAATCAAGAGAACAATGATAACTTACCAAGTTCCTTTTCAATAATGGAATTGTCAGTCAAAGGAATCCTTTGGTGGTTGACTTTTCCAAAACCTCTCTTGTAGATGAGCTCTCTCACAGTTTTAAGATTAGGTGTTCTGAAAATGTATTCAGTACCATTGAAAATGTGCATCATGTGACTTATTTTGAGTATAAAATAAGTTATATTTTGGATCAGACAGTACGAATACAAGCAACAATCATTCTTGCTGCATCAAAAAAGTTGAATTGTCATCACTTCCATTGAAAAGAGAAACTTATAACATTTACTCTGAATAATAGTATGTGTAAAGGTCATCCGATACTGAAAACAACTGAAAGGTGGAGGTTGTTTTGACATGATGTCTTAAAAAACGTGAAAGTATAAGCGTGAATTTCTTATTCAAAAAGATAGTATGTTTGAAGGAATTTATCTTATTGAAGGTGTGATCAGAAGGGATGTAAAGCTGACATATTTAGGAAACCACTTCAATGTAATGATCTCTTTTACATAAAAACATTTATGAATCAATATGTTGAAAAATCAAGATGACTTGATGCCATATCTATCTGGATGTACTATGGCCATATGAACAACTGCTTCACTTCAGTGGTTAAATTAGATCTATTTTGTTTTTATAGTTAGGTGCGTTGATGTATTTTGTAACATTTTGATTAAAACTAACAATTACAAAAACTCAAAAGAAAGTTTACTTTAGCATTCATTTCTAATTTTATTACTGAAAATTTCTCAGAATATATCTAAAAAATAGTATTCTTTTTCAAAGCTCCTGCAATCTTGGCAGCTGACATTTTCCAGGGTACCAGATATAAAAATACTTATGCCCTCATTATTCAATATGACCACAACTATAGTAGGCTAACCCATATGCCTAAACAACGACCATTTAAATGACAAGAAATTAAGTCATTGTAGCACTTGACGCATGTTCTTACAGCTAGAATTGGCCAAGTAACATGCCCCTTTGAATTGTTGAACTCAAAATTCTTACCCCCAAGCAACATATGGCTCAGCAATCTTCAGCATATTCAGTGTGGCCTTGTTCAACCTAACAAATACACCATTGTTTATCTGACGCAATCTAAATAGCTGAAGCACCTTTCTGGGGCGGGGATGAATGCCATTGATACTGAAAAAAAAAAGATTTTTTACACCAAGAGTTTTACTAAATACTAGGTTGAATTATGGATTTTTTAAAATAAAATATTCTGTTATTTCAAATACACCATTAACTTCCTTACCCCTTAAGAGAACATTTGACACCACATTTAAATATCTAGCTTACTCGGTTGACAAGAAAAAAGAGAATTTGAAATTTTTCCGATATTGGAAAATGAAAGACAAAACCGTGTTTTATCCCCTCGACCGGCATAACATTACGTCGTGGACTTGTGTCCACGAGCTTTTAATTCCCGCCATGGTAATTGCGTCAGCTTAGGTTATTTACTCACCGGAAAATAACAAAAAGCAACTGGTTGATAATAAAACTAGATCTAGTTATTTTATTATTTATTAAATTCTACTCTACATGTTATTCATACCATTTTATGAAGTAATGAACACCTGCATAAATCAAATGACCATAATAAATATTTTTATTTCAAATAATAAATATGCATAAAATAATATGATAGTAATTGCTAAGATAGTTTATAAATACAAATACATTTTACACTCAATCACATTATATTGAGTCAACAGTGTGGCAGCTGAGGTTCATACATGGTTTTAGTGTCCCTTTTTTTTTTACATTACATTTTTTTTCATCTTGAAAACATGACGTATGTGATTTTTTTTTTTTTTTAAATAAAATCTCCAAACATCGTCACTCGCGTGATTGCTTGCTTATGTTTACTATCCTGTGGATGAAAAATCCCACCACGGTCGCGGGGTCACCGTGACCTATAGTACACGTCATAGAATGAACAGGCGTACACGAGATGGTCGGTGTCTTCACTTCTCTCTCTCTCTTCCCCCCCCCCTTCTTCAAGCAAATTGAATAACAGACCTACTTCCCTACTTCTGGTCATTTTTTTTTTTTAAAGTTCGGTCATTTTTTTTAAAGTTCACATATCAGGCATGCTAGACAGCCAGCTGTATAAAAAAAAATTTAACTAGATCTACGTCTAGCTTAAAAAAATACATAAATAAACGCTTAAAATGCCCGTAAACAGATTATTTAGCGCCAAAAAAAAAAAAAAAAAGGCAGCTGAACGAGCAATTTTTTTAAAATACGCAGCAATGAAAAGGGCTAACGGCCGATCAATTAAGTCTAAAAATCGCCCGTAATTAGGCCTAGCTCTGAAAAAGGCCACTGAACGAGCATCAGTGATTATATAAACAAATAGGCCACGCAGCTTTGACGGGGTTAACCACCGGTCACGAATGCAGCAACTGTCGGCCCACAGTGAAGAAAAAATCAATATACTAATACAATTACTAATACAACAATAATGTCCATAATTTTACTTTTTCCACACATGCTACAATTGAATTATAATTAAAATACTAGACTTAACAGTTCATTCCGTAAAAAACAAAAACTAGTTGTTTCAGTCTGGCAACTAGCGTAGCAATGACGTCATGATACTAAAAATAGCGGATAGAAATGTCAGCGTGGGTACCTCATTTTGGGATAAGATTTTGGAAACCAGAATCAATAATAATGTAAATATACAAGGTAAATATCTCAATTATATATTAATTTAGAGGAGGTCGGGCCGTTTTCCCCGGAGGTCGGTCGTTTTTAGCGGCGGTTCAGTTTTTACGGAGAGCGCTCCACTAGAAATCCTCTCATTATTTACAACAACAAATCTCTCGATTTTTTCTGGCATTCTAAGGCATATTATCCATTTTATTAGCATTCTGCATTAAAATAATGATGAGAATTTGCGAGATAAACAGTTTTTTCATTTGTCGTGGATGGGACCCCTAAAATAAACGTAAAAACCGTCTAAAAACGACGCGTGACGTTTCAGGGTCAGAGGTCAATCCAGCCATCTAAGCAACGCGCCAGACTACTAAATACATATCACTATAGACCTACATAACTAAACCAACAGCTTCTTAGAGAAATAGAGATGATAGTTTAAATTATAAATTACCCTCTGATTCTAATGACAAATGCCAATTTAGGCTCAGCTGGAACATAGAAATTTCCTGCTTTCTTTGCAATTCTAGCCAAGCGAATCTCATCTCGCTCCTTGGCTCTGTATTCCTTGACATACTTCTCTGCTCTTTTAAATATGGTCTTCTTTTTGGTTACCTGTTTCTATTTAATATAGAAAAACAATTTTAAAAAGGAACAAAACAATATTCACATCAAGTTAAACCATAGACTATTCAAAACAAGACAGACTTTTTAAAACAGCCACCTACTAACTACTAACCACTAGTCACCATTATCAATAATCCCAACGAAAACCACCTAACTTTCTAACCAGCAGAAAAAGTGCTTGATATGCTGGCAGTAAATATTTGCAGGTGCACTTAGATTTTGCTTTCCTGTATGGAATCTCTTGGAGTTAATCTTAATTTGAACACGTTTTGAGTTAAGGAAGACAATGACTTCTCAAATAATCTTATTTTTCAGCTGGGGTATGTTATTCAAGAATCTCCCAAATTTACATTTTTTATAGGCCTACCTGGGGAATTTGTTATTTGAGGGTTAAGACAGAAAGTTTCCTGAGTAAATATTACTTCCAGGCCTAAGAACTACACTTAGATTTCTATATCTACAAGTGTTTTCAAAATAACTCAAGTCAAGATCCAAGAAGTTGTAAAATTTACCAACTTACCTTTCTATTAGCTAGCTCAGCTTTTGCAGCAGTAGCCTTGTTTATGGCTAACTGCTTTCTTCTTTTGAGTATAGACTCGGGAACCTTGGGCAGCTGCTTTGGTCTATCAACGAGTAAATATTTAATCATTTGAAATAAAAGTGACTACAAATTTTGAAAATGCAATACAACCCCATTTTGCTTCACGATAATTAAAAAAAAATAGTTTTGTCTTATTAGAAGTAGAAATAGCAAAAAAGACCCCCTTACGATGAACATTAATTTTTCCCCAATAATTTAAGACGATTAAATAAATTAACATTTAAGAAAATTAGCCGATTCATTTAGATTTAAAAGGAGGATTTTAGGACTCACTTGTCTGCCATTATTGTTGCAGGGTAAAAGGAAGTGACTGTGTGTAAAACGTAAAGACAACAACCTACTTCCTGATATACGAAACAAATTTCTCATCGACGAATTAATTCAAATTTTAAATGTGTCGTTTTTTTTAAAGAAATAAAATGTTATATTATAAACAATAATTATATAAACTAAACAATGTTTATTCGATGTATAGCTTATAATAATACTATGGTAGGTTTATGCATAATATAAGTAATGTATTTTTTTAAATCATGAAAGTGAAAAACATGAATAATGGATCAGATTAAAATAAATACAGGAACTAGAATCTGGGCTTCATCATAAACTAGGATTTAGTAGGCCCACTGTAAAATTAAATTTAATGTTTTTTTTTAAAATAAATTAGTGTAGAAGTCCGCAACTGCAGCTCAAAAGCCGAATGGGGCCGTTAAAATAATAATTTAAAAATTACTGCAGGTCTAATTTTTTTAATAGAAAAAATATAGTGCTGTTTATTTAATTGTAATTTAATGATCTTCCAAGTTATACGATTTAATTATAACATAATTTTTTTTAAACATATATAGTGTATGCCTAAAGCTATCAGATCTAGATCTATATAAAATGGTTCTTGATTCGAAAAAAAAAATACCCGACTATGGTATTAGTCAGTGTTTCTTCCAGACTTTTTTCTCCGGGGGGGCACTTGAAATTTTCGGGGGGGGCGGTAAACTTTCTTCGGGGGGGCGGACACTGTTAAAAGTATATATTTTCTATATAAATTGTATAAATTTCATTTCGTTCGGGGGGGGCAGTAAAAATTTTTCGGGGGGGCTTCGCCCCCCCCCCCCCAAAGAGATGCCTGGAAGAAACTCTGGTATTAGTGCCGCAAGATTACTGTCGGTTGAGCTCTAGCAGAGATTATAATTATAATCAAAAGTCCACATTCGTTTCACAGGGGTCCATCTTTACACTGGAGCTAGATGGGTGTATGCCAAAAGGCCGACATGGACAAAAAGGCCGATATAAACAAGCTCGAATGGAATAAAGCCGGCATAACCTAAAAGGCCGACAGACCATACGGCCGATAAAACACAAGGTCGAAAAACCTTTAAGGCCAACAAAGATTAAAATAATAATAATGCTAAATGATATTAATTAAATATGTCTCACTGCATAGACCCCCTCCACCAACTGGACAATTTAAGACAATAATTATCAACGAACGAATTCAAAGGCCGCCGGCATCATCGCCCAAGGCAACAATGCAGAACGTCCATTAGCTAATGCAAGTTGCTATCCTTTTAATGTGAATTATATATATATATATATATATATATATATATATATATATATATATATATATATATATATATATATATATATATATATATATAAAGTTGGGTCCTAGTAGACTGGAGACGGAGATGAAAAGAGGTAAAAGATAAGTGGAAAGTGGGTAATTTGTACCCCTAAAGGAAAAAATAATTTTAAAAAGCTCCAAGCTAGAAACAGTTTATTTTTACTTAAAGGCAATCTTTATTGTAAACTACATCCAAAAATAGTGATTTTGATGTGTAATTACAAACAAGAAGAGCACAGTAATTAGACCCCAAAAAATACAAAACGCAGCGGTACCAATTACCCGCACAGAGGTCCAAATAGTGTAATAGATTGAGTTAATTGTGAGGTCAAGGGAACTCACTCTCTGTATTAGTATTATATTTATATTGTTATCTTGAGTGATGTCCCTTACATGTTGTTATCTATAAATAGTTCTCTCTCGCCACTTCCTTCCTCTCTCTTTGCATCATGGCTGTCTGTAAATAAAGACTGTTAACACCAATGTGGCTCCTCGTCAATCTATAACATTTTGGCGACGAAGGATAAACATCTACTAGAAAGAGCACCTACTTACGCAAAAAAGAGGTTTGCTAGAGCTTATTAGCTAATTATTTCTAGAATAATGGCGCTGTATGGCCAAATAAAGCAATTTGATTCGAATGATGAAATCATTCAGGATTACCTAGATAGGTTAAGCTTTTACCTTGAAGCAAACAACGTGACGATAGAAGCCAAAAAGAGAGCTATTTTGTTAACAGTCATAGGGCCTCAACAATTTAGGCTACTAAAAGACTTATGCGCACCAGCTAGTCTAACTACCAAGAGCTTTAACGAGCTGAGCAAATTGCTAACAGACCACCATGCGCCTGTACCATCAAAGTTTCTATGTCGAGCTAGATTTGACAGTAGGACTCGTCAACCAAACGAGTCAATATCAGAATATGTTGCTGCTTTACGTCATTTAAGTGAATTTTGTGAATTCGGAGACACGCTGTCTGACAGATTATGTGAAAAGTTTGTGACAGGTGTAAACAGCCCTGATATTCAAAGAAAGTTGCTGCTCGAGTCAGATCTAACATTAGAAAAAGCAATACAACTTGCAACTTCAATCCAGCAGTCATCAGATGCGGCGAAATCTCTAACGCCTTCAGGGATCCATGCAGTAAACAGCAGGTTAGTCAACAAACATCAACCCCATCAGAGCATTCCAACTTATGCTAAACAGCCTGCTCGTTCAAATCCTAGATCTAAATCTAGTAATAATTATCAAAAATGTCATCGATGCAAAGGTCCCCATGCATCTCATCGGTGCAAGTTCAAGTCTGCAACTTGTTATAAGTGCGGTAAGCAAGGTCACATTGCCAAGGCCTGCTTTGCAAAGTCTTCGTCTGTTGCTAAATCTAGCCAGTCAAGACAGTACCGCAACCAAAGGCAGCACTATGTTAACTCTCACCAAGACTACCTAACCCAACCAATGAACCACTCTACCTGTGAAAATGCTCAAATTGATTTGCAGCCGGATTTCAACCTGTTCTCTGTTAAATCAATAAGTCATGCTCCCATCAATGTACAAGTTAATATCAACGGTAAGAGCATCAGCTTCCAACTTGACACTGGAGCATCTCTAACAGTCATAACAAAGAAAGATTTTGACGCTGTCACAGGAGGATCAGTGTCTCTACAGCCGTGTCACAAGTGTCTAACAACATACACTGGTGACAATGTTCCGGTAATAGGAGAGTGTATGGTTCATGTAAGTTATAATGGTCAAAGTGTTAAACTTCCTCTTCTTGTGGTTGAAGGAAATGGACCGCCATTACTAGGTAGGAACTGGTTAAGTGATCTTAAGTTAAATTGGGAGAGTATTTGTTCATTGAAGAATGTAAAAGAATCTAGTCTTACTTCACTAGATAAAGTTATATCTGAAAATAAATGTGTTTTTGGTAATTCAGGTTTACTAAATGATAGAACAGTGAAGTTAAGCATTAAAGACACAAATCCAAGATACTGCAAGGCTAGAGTTCCACCTTATGCAATGAGGAATAAAATTGAAAATGAGCTAAGTAGATTGGAATCTAATGGCATTATAAAGAAGGTAGACTATTCCGATTGGGCGACACCCATTGTGCCAGTGTTAAAGAAGGATGGTTCTATAAGAATTTGTGGAGATTACAAAGCTACACTGAATAAGCAAATAGAGCTAAATAGGTACCCTATACCTAACATTGAGGAAATTTCTTTGAATTTGGCAGGAGGAGACAAATTCACTGAATTAGACTTTAGTCATGCTTACACTCAACTAGAACTGCATCCAGATTCAAAAGTCTATACGACAATAAACACACATAAAGGACTCTACCAATATGAAAGACTATGTTTTGGCATATCATCTAGCCCTGGAATTTTCCAAGCTGTCATGGACAGTATTTTTAAGGACATTCCAAATGTTTGTGTGTACTTTGACAATGTGTACATAACTGGTAAGAATGACACTGAACATCTTAAAACACTTGATAAAGTCTTGAAAATTGTTGGTGAAAAAGGTTTAAAGATAAACAAAGATAAATGTCAATTCATGCTGACAGAAATTAGTTTTCTTGGTTATATATTAAGCAAGCAAGGCATCAGACCTCAACCTGAGAAAACAAAAGCCATTAAAGAAGCACCCAAACCTGAAAATACCCAACAACTAAGAGCTTTTTTGGGCTTGATAAATTACTATGCAAAGTTCATAGGAAATCTGTCTGGTAAACTATCACCACTGTACAAGCTGCTACAGAAAAATGCAACTTGGCACTGGGGTAAACAACAAGAAGCTGCTTTTAATACAGCAAAAGAGGCTTTGTCTTCTGACACCTTACTAACTCACTATGACCCAGGGAAAAGACTTATATTAACATGTGATGCTTCACCAGATGGTGTAGGAGCAGTCTTGTCCCACATGGATGAGAAGGGTGACAGACCCATTGCTTTTGCCAGTAGATCTTTGAACCAGGCTGAGAAAAATTATTCTCAGTTAGATAGGGAAGGCTTAGGCATCATTTTTGGTGTTAAGAAATTTCATAAGTTTCTGTTTGGTAGGAAGTTCACCATCTTTACAGATCATAAACCATTGCTAGGTTTATTTGGAGAAAACAAAACCCTACCTGAGCATGCCTCTCCAAGAATTCAAAGATGGGCTATCACACTAACTGCATACAATTATGAATTGAGATACAAACCTGGATCTGAGAATAGTGCAGATAGTCTTAGTAGATTACCTTTAAAAAACCAAAGCCTGAGCTATGTACCAGAAGATGTATTTGTTCTCTTCACTATCATGGATAACTCCAATATAAATGTGAATGATATTAAAAGAGAAACACAAACAGATGAGTGCTTAATAAAAGTATATGAGTACTGTAAGAATGGTTGGCCTGAAGAGTCTGTGAATGATGACTTAAGGCCATATAAAATAAGAAATTAAAACCCTTTGTGAAGATAATATAAAAGATGGAGAAGATGCAGTCCATTATCAGTCAGAGTTGCCTAAACAAAGTATTTGTAACTTAATAAATGATTATGGTGATATGGCAATTTCAAATGTTTTAAAGAGAATACATTAGTAAGAAGGAATGTGATCATCAAACAACTTTGCTAACATCATTAGCACTTACAGAAACTAAAAGGGTAACATCAAAAGAAAAAAAAAAAAGATTTTTTGCCATTTAATACTTTCAGATGCCAATTCAAAAATAGTTCCATTAAATCATGACAACTCATGCATTGAAAG